AATTTATATTCCTAATGGGAACATACAGCATTCCAGATGTCATATGTACTAGTATTTGTCATTACCAGGTTTTTTTTCATTGTCAGTTTTTAAATTTGTGAAATTATTATTTTAATTTGTATTTCTCTGATCAGAAAGCACACCTTTTCATACATGTAAGAGACAGTCATGTTTTCTGTTCTTTGAGTTACCTTTTCTTGTCTTCACCTTGTTTTGTATTTGGTTACCTTTTTCTTACTTAGTTTTAGAATTTCTTTGGAAATTGTTGCTGCTGTGTTCCATCAAGTTGGTACTGACCATAGCTGACCCTCCTCCAGAGGGTTTTCAGAGGCATGGGAGAAGACTACTCATCTTTCTTCTGAGGAACAGATGGTGGATTTGAACCACATATACCTTTGGGTTGCCAGTACAACTCTACTATTGGGCCACCAAAGTTCTCTTTATATGCTAAAATCTTATTGTTGTTGTTGATTGCTGTTAAGTCGCATGACTCATAGCGACCCTATGAACAAAAGATCTGCAGCCTTTCCATAATTTTCATTGTTTCTCAAAGTTCATAGTTTCCAGAGGTATGTTGTTTAGGTGGTGGAAGCCACTCCTGCTTCCTTTTTTTTAGAAAATTTTTTTCATATTATTATTTTGTGTGTGTGTGCCGTCAAATCGGATCTGACTGATACAGGAGGAGATTGCCCCTCCTTCTCCAGCAGAGCATCTGGTGGATTAAAAAACGTACCTCTGGGATTACAGTACTCCTGCTTCTTGTTATTTCTTTTTGAAATAAATATTAAGGAGATTTGGAACTTCCATTTCTGAATGCTACTTCTCCAGCCTGCCTGACTTTGTGCCAGCAGCTCCAGAGATTAAGATGGACAGTTTCCTTTTGTGAGATTTATAATTGTGGAAACCCAGTGGTGGGTCAGCTGTGAATCAATTCTGATAGAAATTCAGTTCTCTACATGGGTTATACACCTAAAACTCCACCAGAGGGCATGTTTAGAATTTAACATTTACTAAGATGTACTTTGTTGGTTATTGCTTGAAATGAAACTAGATTACTATGTTAAGTTAGAGATTGTTTAGTGTAAGTATGCATCTCCCTTTGTAGCAAAAAAAAAAAAAGTAAAATATTAAAGACAGAACTGGAAGTAAAACTATCCTAGTCTGATCATTTTCATGACAAGGGGAGTTCATGAAGAACTCTTAGATAAGCCCTGAACTTGTCAACATTGTATGTTGTGTTGTTGTTATGTGCCGTCGAGTCGCCTGTGACTTATAGCGACCCTATTTACAACAGCCCTAAACTCCACTCTGTCCTGTGCCAATTGCACTGTTTCTGACACTCCCATCCCAATTATCCCAGTCACTGAATCAATCCACCTCATAGAGGGCCTTCATTGTATAGCTTAGAAATTTTTCTTTTTTTGTACTTGTTCTATCAGACAGAAGTAACTAATTTAACAGATAATATTATAATTGGAATCTTGAGGGGAACACAAAGTAACCAGCCAACCAACCAACAGAATTATCCACTGAAACCAAGAGCACAAATTACATGAAGACAAAGTTTATCTCTTTCATAAAATTAAGGTTGATCTAAATTAGCTCATAAAATTGTAAGTTTCTTGTTTGGCTGCTAGTATTCATATAGTGGGAGCTGTAGTGGCCTAGGGAGCAATTCCAGTAGCTACTCCATGAAAGACAGATAGGAATCCTCTCCCTTATGATTTGCAGCCTCTGAAAACCTGCTGGAGGGGTAGCTACAAGTTGATTCTGACTTTACTGCATATGAATAACAACATTCATATGGAATAGGAAATGACCACTAACAGTTACAGAATGTTAGGGTTATTTCAGCCATTTTTTTTATAGGTGAGGAAACCGAGTCTAGATCTCTTGGCTAAGGCAGTTTGAAGCTGATGTAGGGTAGATACCTTCATTTAGTCCAGTATGACTTGCAGTTTGTCCCGTTTCTTCTCTTCTGAGGTTAAGGGTGATGGAGTTAGGAGAGAGGACTCCTGCATTAGGAAGGGAATTGATTGATTGATAACATCAGCTTTTCAGTATTCTTATTCTGATTGTACTTTGATCCAATCTTAGATTTGTTTAAAATGCTATAACGTTTTAGAAAGTCTCTAGACCATTGGCGTTCTTATGTATTTAACTCTATCCATAGCTTTTGGCCAATGCAGGTACTCAGCCTGAATATTTTGCTATATGAGTGAAAGCTTGGATATGTTGTTATTGTTGTTGTTAAGTGCCTTCAAATCCTAGACAACTCATAGCAACCCTATGAACAAAAGACCTGAACAATTGTATAACTTTTCATTGTTTCTCCAAGTTCATAGAATTTCCAGAGTAAACTATTTCAGAAGTGGATGTCACTCTTACTTCAAGCTTGTTTTAATTGGGGAGCTCCACCAAACACTGGCCACCATGGGTAACCATTATCACATTTGACACATCAGTGTCACAGATTTCAGCATCACAGCAACTATGAGTTACCTCTGTACAGCAAATGGACAGACCAGTGCTATATCACTTAGAAGAATGTTTGACCAAAAGCAATTAAAACCAGGCCTGAGGGCCACCTTAGGCTTGGTAGCATCACTTTCTATCCACTAGGCCAACAGAGCTCTCTTGTTGTTGTTGTTGTTGTTAATTGCCATCAAGTTGTAGATGACTCATAGCGACTCTCTGAACAAAAGACCATAACACTTGTATAACTTTCATCGTTTCTCCATGAAAACTTTGAAATGGCAATAGAAAAAAAAATTAAAAAGAAGTAGAAATGGTAAGAATGAGAAAGAATAGAACCCCCAAAACTAAAATAGAAAAAAATGAAAACCATACTTAGGAGCTTCTATGTGAATGTATTCAAGAGAAGAGATCCATGGAACAAAATAAGATTCTATCTGAAAGTAAATACCATTCAAATTTAATTGCTACTAAAAATGCAGGCAGTGTAAGATAGTAATTAAGAGCATACATTCTAATATCATTTCTACTGTTTTATGTAGATATAGGTGACTTCAAACTGTGCCTCAATTTATTTTTTTAAAAAATGAGGTTAATAGTACATAGGTCATGAAACGTGTGCATGTTTGTATATGTATATAACTTTTTGTATGTAGAAAGACTATGCAATAAGCAGTATATAAGATTAGCAGTTGTTGTTTGTTATTATGTGTCGTTGAGTTGCCTGCAACTCAATGTACAACCCTATGTACAAAAATTCTGAAAGCTGCCCTGTCCTGAGTCAGTCTCATTGCCTCCAACACACCTACTCCCATTGTCCTAGTTATAGTATCAATCCCTCTTATTGGGGTCTTCCTCTCCTGTGTTGTTCGTCTTCCCTTCCAAGCATGATGTTGTTCTCCAAGGACTGGTGCCTAAAGTAGATGAGATGGAGTTTCACAATCCTAGCCTCCAAAAATTTGGTTTTACCCTCTCCAAGATAGAACTACTTTTTTTCTTGGTGGTCCATGGTATGTTTAAGACTCTTCAGCAGAAGATTATTAATTAGAATAATTTTATTTATCTTCAACATACAGTCACTGGGTGGTACAAATGGATAATGCACTTGACTGTTAGCTAGATGTTAGATATTTTGAGTCCACCTGCTTGATGATCTGTTTCTGGAAAATTGATTGAAAAACCTTAAAGAGCAGAGTTCTCTTCTGATACGCATGGGGCTGCCCCAAGTCAGAAATGAGTCAATAGCAATAGAATTACTAATATTTGAGGTGGTGAAATGCTGTTGAACGTAATTTACTGATTTTCATGTCTTTCCTCTCTGTTGGAAGTGAATCTGTTTATTCCTGAAAGATAGTACCAATGGTATTAATTTAAGACTTCACTCTATATAAGAGTTTCTTTTTTCAGTTGTATGTTTCATTCTAGAAGAATTAAACTTGGATAATCTGAAATGCTAAATAATAATTGTAAACTAACTTTTAAAATGACAGCCTCTGTATTTGTTTTACTGTCCATTTGCAGCGAAAAAAATTGGGAGGAAGGCATTTACACAATTCAGTTTTGAATCAGACCCTTATGTAGTTCCATGGAGAAGTAGTTTGTTTTCTACTACAAACTACTTAAGGAAATATTAAGGTTAATAAGAAATTTCTTTTCTGCTGTTTATATGTGGTGGTTGTTGTAAGTATATCGTTAAGTTGAAAGCATCTTACAGTTAACCTTCAAGCAGGTTTTCAAATCGCATGGGAGAATGTTATTCATTCTCTGTGGAGCAGCTGGTGGTTTTGAACTGCATATCTTAGGACTGGCAGTATAACTTTAGTGCTTATGTTTTGTAGCTAAAGATTATAATCTTTAACAATAGAGAGTTGACATCTTTTAATGTATTTTCAAGGTATGGAGATTAAGAGGAAATGTAGAGAATTTTTTAAAAATGAAATAAAGTAAGACAAAGTAAAGGTATTTTTTTAATACATAATTATCACCTTATTCTCTAGTTTATGATGCAAGAATCACTTGAATACTAGAAAGTTTATTTTTAGAACAAAATACCTAACCCCTATCTTGTTTTTTTTAAAGGAAGCAATAAAAGATTGAAGCATCCTTTTTAGTAGACAGTGGAAACAAGGGCAGAGACGAAGGAGACATTGAAAATTTAAATTATGAACATGAAGTTAGACAATGGCTAAGTGCCTGAAAATACTGAGAGTATGTCTGGAAATTCCGCCCACTTTCAGATGTGATTATACAAACAAATGAGAAACAGAATGGTGGAAATACTGTAAAATCTGTCTTAATTATTATAATGTTTAAGGATGTATCAGCATATTGAATTTGCCTATATAATTTCTGAGGAGAATTTTTGTTTTGCTATATAGTTATTACTAGATTAAACGTTATGGTTCTATGGAAAGATTAGAGTACTAACTTTGTTTCTGTCTTTTATTTTGTTTAGACTTGGGAAGATCCTCATCAAATAGATCAAAGCACAGACTGCTGTGGAGATAATGATCCTATTGATGTTTGTGAAATAGGCTCAAAGGTTTGTTTTATTTATTGTTTAATTCTTACATGTCTTCTGCTTTATTCATGTCATAAACTTTCAGTTCTCTTTTGAAGGCATAAGTTCTTCAACTCTTCAAAATTTCGGTCCATTGATCCTTCTGATATCAGTTCCTACGTATATGTTTACTTCCTTCTCTTAAACCAGGGGTTAGCAAACTACTTCATATGGGCCAAATCTTGCAAATAAAGTTTTATTGAAACACAGCAATGCCCACTCAATTACATATTGTCTATGGCTGCTTTTGTATTCCAACAGAAAAGTAGAATTATCACAGCAGAGGCCACAAAACTATCAGAACCTTGATATAAAAATCTTGTGGACATTTGTCTTCTGTTCTCTTGTCCATTGTATAGACAGACACATAAGTATGTAAAAAAGCCACCTGACACTCTTCTTTGTACTTGGTTTTCATATCCTGGAGAGGAAGAACAAAGTTTACAATGCCATAGGCTTGTGCTACTCGTCAATTCTTTTGTGAGTCCTTCTTGTTCTTAGGTGCCATCAAGCTGTGTATAACTCTGTGATCCTATGAACAGTAGATGTAAAAAACCCTGTTCTATCTTGTGCCACCCTCATCATCTCTGACTTACTTGAACCCGTTACTGCAGTCACTGTGTCAGTCCAACTCATTTAGATTGTTCTTCTCCTTCGCTGCCCCTTCATCTTTCCAATCCTGATGTCCCTTTCCAAAAATTAGTTAGCCCTAACAAAATGCCAGAAGTATGTGAGGCAAAGCTTTGTCTTCCTTTCCTCCAAGGAGCACTCTGGTTACCCTTCCTCAAGACATCTATTTGTTCTTCTTGCAGTGAATTCTTAGTCAATTCTTTTTCCTGTTCCAGCTGCTTCTATTACTAATATTTATTTTCTGTCCACATTCAATTCTTGCCATTTTCTTCTTCTCAGCAGAAAATCTTGTGTTTAATTTTATAGCTCCTATTAAAAACCAGCAGATCAGAACTCTTCCACTTTTTTCTCCTCAGATTCTATCTGCAAGTGTTGTTTTTTCCTTTTGTTCTGTTACAGGGATGTTGTCTTTCTTATCTAAGAATGGGGCTTTCTGTGCTCTAGATTTTGTCCCTTCTATCCTGAGTGACTGTGTTTTCTTATCATTTCTCTTTCCTGTTTTTCCCACTTCTCTTTCTTTACTGGCTTATTCTCATCTGCCACTTCATAGACCACTGTGAAGATTGATTTATTCAACAAATACTTTATGTGTGTCTACTTGTTCCAGATACTTGGAACATACAGGGAACAAACACATGCTTGCCCTCATGGAACTTACAATCTAGCATTTATTACCGTTTTATCTACACACTGGCCCTAGGCAAATGTGTACATCCCTGAGTCATAGCTGACCAAAGGTGCCAGCACATTCCATGTAAAGACTTACAAAAAGAGTTTCCAACACTCATCTCTATTTCCTGTTTCTCCTTGAATCTTCAATCTGTTGGATGAATATTTTCATCTTCATTATTTTATGAATTACCCTCATTGAAAGAAGCTCTGGTAGCTTAGTGGTAAGCAGCTGCACTGCCAACCTAAAGGAACATGGTTCAAATCCACTACCTATTCTGTGGGAGGCTGTCTCCTCCCTTGTGATTAAATGCCTATGAAAATTCCCTGGAGGGTCAGCTATGAGTCGGTTCCGACTCAGTAGTACATCACAACAACCACTCTCATTGAGGTTAGTGACTACTTTGTTTTAGCCAAATCTTATAGGCTTGTTTATAGGTTTTGCTAACATGATTTTACCTTAGCATTACTGCTAACCTCATCTTCCTTTTTTGAACACTATTTACTTGACGTTCATGATATTTATTTTTTTAAATCATTCTGGTTTCTTTTGTCAGTTCCTTTTCTTCTGCCTCCTTGTTAAATATGAATTTGAAGGTTATACCCTTAAAGTCTCTCCTTGTCTCTCCATATCGGGACTCCCTTGATAATCCAATCTCAAAAATTGTTGGTGACTTGGCCCCCAAATTGATAATCTGCTCAGAGCCATACACGTCACTGTCTCTGTCTACACTTGAAAGTGACCCAGGCTTTTCATGTGCAGCAGGCCCAGAACGCAATTATTTCTTCCTCTCAAATTTACTCTTCTCTGAGCATTTTTAGATTCAGTGAATGACATTGCTCCTCTCTAGATTCTTAGTGGGGAAAAAGATGGGCATTCTCCTCCTGTGTAATTAACTGCCTCTGAAAATTAACTGCCAGATGGTCAGCTATAGGTCAGTTCCAACTCGATGATACCCAACAACAGTAGGTTCTTAAGGCAGAAATCCAGTCACCATCTTTGCTCCTTTATTGCCTTTCCTCATCTGTTTATCATAATATATTGATTGTGTATCCCTAAGTAGACTTTAAAACTGCCAGCTACTTTCTAGTCTCACTACTGCTAGACTAGTCTGAGCCATCTTTATTTCTCCCTTGAATTATACTGCAGCGAACCAATTTTCTGAGTATGTTTTTCCCTCCTTTCACATACTCAACTCTTTTCTAGCTTCACTGTCATGGATCCTGGCTTATGCTTTTTTAAAATCTCTTGCAAACTGTTTTACAGCACTTCTCTTTCAATTCTTGTAGTGCATTTTGCTCTTGCTGTTGCCTGGAGTCTAGGCCTTCTTATAAATTATCTTATCTTTGTAGAATGGTACTTTCTTCCGCTGTCTCTTTCCTCTTTCTTCCTTTCATTTCTCTTCTCCTCGTCTCCTCTAAAATGGCACTGTTTCTGGCGAGCCTTCCTTGACCCTTTGTAGACCATCATAATTGTTCTCTGTTATTTCCTTCCATAGTACTAACTTTGTTTTGTTGTTTGTTGATTATCTTCTCCATGAAATTTCAGCCAGCTCATGAGAGAAGACTTCCTGATGTCATTGTTAATAATGTTTAACGGAGACCTACACATTAAAAACAAATGGGGAAAAAAACATCGTATTTGTTGATTTTTACTCATGTCAACTGTATGTGTTATAGAGCAGAACAGAGCTCTAGAGAGAGAGAGTTTTTGTAGAGGTCATCTTTATAGAAACTGATTGCCAGACTTTTTTTCTGTAATGTTACGAGGTGGGTTTCAGCCATCAAACTTGAGGTTAATAGTTGAGTGGAAACTGTACCTGCCAGTGGATTTTGACTGACACAGAGCATAATCTTAATTTCAGAAATGCCAAATTGGATTACTGGGTCATATTCTAGTTTAAATGAACTCACTTTTCCCTGTAAACTTATGTGAGCACTTGTAGACTTCTAGAATATTCCTTACTAAATTTGCTTTACTTATATTGCTTTGTGGCTGTGCTCTTTTTCCTTCTTTTTTCTTAGGCTCCCTTCTTATTCTTTTTTTTCTTCTTCATCCTCCTCTATGACATTCACTTTCTTCCTTTTGATTTTCTGCCTCTGTTCTTGCTGTCCCTTCAATTTTTTTTTCTTCTTCCTTGTCCCTGTGTTTCTTCCTTTCCTTTTTCTCTTCTTTTTCGCCCTTATTCCTTTTCTACAAGTAGGAGATCCATATTCAAACTTAAATTTCTACCTTTCATGCAAGTCAAACATTTAAAAACTTGTTGCTGATGAGTCAGAACTCACTCAGAGTTTACCCTCCAGAGAGCTTTCAGAGACTGTGTATCACACAGGAAGAGGTTGCCTATCTTTCTGCCACAGAGCAGCTCATGGGTTCAAAGTGTTAGACCTGGGTTAGCAGCAAAACTCCTTACCCACTAGGCTATTAGAACTTCCTAGAATTCTCTCTCTTGCGTGTGTGTGTGTCTATTTGTGTACCTCCCCCTCCCCCCCCCCCAAGTTGGGGAGTGGAGTGCAAGGGAGCAAGATACTGAGGGATATTTCTTTTTTCAAAAGCAAGTTATAGTACCTTTGAGTTGGTAGCACAACACCTTACACACTAGGCTACCAGAGCTTCCTAGTATTCTCTATCTCTTTGTTATTCTTGTTCAGTCTTGCTAAGTTAGAAGCAACTTATACTTGACCTTCCAGTGGGTTTTCAGAGTTGGTACTATCTCATGGGAGGATATTGCGTATCATTCTCCCATGGAGCAGCTGGTGCCTTTAGTATTGCAGTGCAGTTTTTTAACACTAGGCCACCAGAGCTCCTTTTTTATTATTATGTTACTGAATTGTCTGTGACTCATAGCATACATTTGCTCTGAACTCTGTCTTATCCTTAGTCAGACTCACTGTCTCCAACCCACTGACTCCCATTGCCCTAGTTACTGTGTCATTCCATCTCATCTGGGGTCTTCCTCTCGTGTGCTGTCCTTCCACCCTTCCAAGCATGATGACCTTCTCCAAGGACTGGTCTTTCTTGGCCACATGCCCAAAGAATGTGAGATGGAGCTTTAAAATCCTTGCTCTCAAGGAGCAGCTTTGTTTCACTCTCTCCAGGACAGACCTGTTTGTTCTCTTGGCGGTCTATGGTATGCTCAGTGCTCTTCTTCAACACTACAACTCAAAGGCATTGATTCTCCTGTCATCCTTAGTCATTGTCCAGCTCTCTGATATACAGTAAGTAACTGCAAAGGCCATGGCCTGAATAATCCCTATCATTTTTTAATTTTTCCCTCCCATCTGCCCTCCCTTCCTCTTGTGTATATAGGTGGGGAAAAAAGGGGAAGAGGGAGCAAGAGAGATATAGTGATAGAGATTTCATAATGGCCAAATAGTTATTAGGGTTTTATATATATATTGGTTAGCAAACAAAGTTTGTTTATGTTACATTTAATTGGTATATGCTGTGTTTCTTATATTCCTTCATTCACATTGTCTTTCATATGGTTATTCCCATACATTGTGTTTTATAAAACTAAATCACCATTGATCTATACTCACTACTATCTTATCTTTGTGGATTCCCACAGGATCTTTCCTGATTTCTTTACCCCATAACCCCACCCACCAAATTCTACCACATCTTGCTTCCCCCTCCTCTTCACACCCTCAAGAATTCCAGTTCCCTAGTCTTCCCCCTT